GTTCACATACTTTCCAACTGCACATGAGCCCTCGTATTCATCCTAAGGAAACGTAGCATTTATCAATCAATTCCAGTCTAAGGTCACGCAGAAGCAGAACTGAAACCATCAAGCACTACTTTTTAATGGCTTAGAGCTGAATATGATTTCTAGTTGTTCAAAAACCTTGGTTATAACTTTGTACCAGTTTCATTATCTGAAACACTGCCTGTTTTCTAAATCTTACGTTAAGAGACAACGTAGAACGAACTTAGCCTAAGAGAAAAGTGCAGAAGAAGAAACTAAAATACATAACAAAAATAAATCAAATTTTTTATTTATTATTGTCATTTATATGTAATATAAATTAAGGACTAATAACAAAAAGCAAGTGGGCTTAAAATTTACTAAACAGTGTTGGCAGACAGATTCATATTTGTGATAATAAAAACACAGCATAATATAAAATTTTGTAAAATTAAACTAAAATTTTAATTAAATTTATTGATAAAATTTTAGGTTATTAATTAAATTTTAATTTAATATATTGCAATTATAAAATTAAACTTAATGTTTAAAATTCAAATATAAATTTGTGTTTCTTTTCCCAATTACCAACACTGTTTATATTTAATGTTAGCAACTTTATTTATTATTGTTTATTTAATTACAAATAGTTTGATCGTAACACATATAGGTGCTCTCATTAATTAAATATATAAATGCACAATAGATGTGGGCACTAAATTAAAAAAAAAATTAAAGCACACAAGTTGATTTTTTTAATTGAAAATTTATGTAAATGTATAAAGAAGTTAAATTAAAATAAAAGAAAATATTGTCGGAAAATGTTATATGCAACATAAATATTAATTTGAGCCTTCCTTTTGCATATTTCGGAGCAAATAAAGAAAAAATTAAATGAAAATTAAATGGGTTTACCTCTTGTGCGGGTACAGCATAGTTGCCTTGGATGGTATATGCTTGCCCATTAGCTAAAATGACTGGTCCAGTTACTTGCGGTTTTGGTCTGTATGGTATAGTGGCACCTCTTGGTGGAGACTGCAGCAAATTACAATACACAAAATCAAATGAAAAAAATGTGAAAACTGATTAAAAACTTCAACACATATACTAATGAAAGAATATACAAACCTCCAACATAACAAGACAGATCTGATAGATACATTGGGTTATTTGCTCAGCAGTGCCACTTAAAGTGACGGCACGCTCTGTTGAGTTTGGCAACATTTCGCTGGCAACTTGTATAGAACAGTTTGTTGTCTGGCGTATTTCTTTAATTTTTGAACCACTCTTGCCTATTCAATTTGAATATAAAAAGAGAATTTTATTTTATTTATACACGTTGAGAAAAATTTTTTATGTAGGTTTACCAATTAATGATCCACATTGACTGGCGGGTACAATTAAACGAATTGGAATTTGAGTTTTTCCACCTTTGCCTACATCATTAAATTGTGAACACCACTAAAATTAAAGAAATTTATAAAATAAAATAAAACAAATTAAAAAAGATTTTTAGTCTTACCTCCTCAAATTTCTTTGTAATGAGGGTAAATGCTGAAAAGATCGCACTGGTTGTTCCGGACACCGTTACAATACGTTCAGGACAGGAGCCATCAGAAATATTAATTTTGGCACCCGACTAAATTGAGGAATAATTAAATTTAAAAATTTTAGAATATATTTGAATAAACTTAGAATATAGAAACCTTACCTCTTCACGAAATCTGTTTACGATCTCACCCTTCTTGCCAATAATACTGCCAACTTCCTACAAATAAAGTAATTATCAAACATTAGTTCATGTATTACAAATATTAACTGTATAACTAGTCATATAAAATTAGAAAATAAAAAAAGATATATTACAGTTATAATCGTCAATTTTTTGAAAGAAATAAATATATCAAACACAACACAGTTTAAATATTTAGATATGATCCATTTGTGATTTTCCGCCCCCATCGCTTATATAAAACAGGTACTCTACGAGTATTAAAAGAATTTATATTTCGTCAGGAGATAATTTCTTTCTTAGAATTTAAAATAAAACTATAGAAACTAAAACTGGTAGTCATCGCCCTCCATCAGGGAGCTTTGTGGCACCTTGATAATTTCATCATTGACACTGTATATATCAATGATGATACACTGTATAGTGAAAATAAATCAAGTGGATAACTTATTCAGGTTTACAGATTATTTTATTTTAGAATTGACTGTCTAGAAGTACAAACTTTTTCCTACATTCAGATTGTATAATTGTTCAATAGAACGGATATCATTGTTTTGATTACGTTTGAAGTTATAGAACATATAAAATAATTTTAATACCAATTGTTTTCAATCGATATTATTTGATGAAATCTAAAATTTCTGTTATTATTTAAACTTTGTGAAGAACTTACAAAAAAATCTAACAATAATTTTGAGTCAAGGTAAATAACGATAAATGAATATTAAAAATCATATATATATCTGTATATATGAGTATAATATAAGTACATATGTTGGCAAAAACTCATAATTCATATGTTATGAATACATATAAAATGTTAAAATGATTTGGCATTTTTAATTAGTATTGAAAACATATTTGTTTTTAACCAAAATTTGTAGAATGGAATTATTTTATCTTAAAATAAGTTATATCTTTAAACAAAAAAATAAAAATTTTACTTGTAACTTTTATCAAAAAAAAAACATTCTAGAATTAGTTAGCAATTTTATTCTATTTCATATTTGACCTATTCACACCACTAGAAAAAACTAAAGTGTTTGTTGAAATATTTATTAAATATATATATATATCACGGTATATATATACGGTTATCAGAGTGAGTTATTACTTTTAGTTTATTTTGTTATGTGCTTTAGACCAATGAGTTTTGAAAACTTTTAGTAATTTTTTATTATTGGTTACGTCAATTTTTTGACTTACATCGGTAGTTACCATTTAAGTCTATAACATAAATTATAAAAGTATTTTAACAAAATGACCAAATCATTAATGAGTAATAATTTTAATAATAATATTAATTAAACATATAGCTTAAATAGCATACAAATACAAAAACACTTCATTTTCAATTATTTTCTGATACTAATTTTAAGTATAATATAAGTATAATATAAGTATAATATAATATAAATATTCAAAAAAAAATTGTAACTTTTGTCATATTATTTTTTTTTGTCAATTTTAATATAAAAAAGAATATATTTTGAACAAAAACAAAAATATAAAACTAATGGGCTGTCGTTAATCGGAATTTCACAAACTCAGCTTTGAAAACATAAACAAATACTAAGTATAATGGAATTATAAACTCAGCTTTTACAAACACAGCATTGAAAATATAAACAAATTCTAAGAATAATGGAATTATAATATAATGAAACTGTTTAATAATATAGATTTTCGCAAATAATCCACCAATTTCTTTCTAAATGATATGAACTCAAAACTAACCATTCAACAGAGAGTAATGTAGGGTTTCCAAAATAATTTTTATTTTTACCAACAATATTTAAAAAACTATCATTTATTAGTGTTTTGACTCCCAACGAGTTCTTGTAATCGAAAAATTACATATGCAAAATGCTATATAATGCTAATAATTTATTTCATTTTATCGGGACTATAGAAATCATAATAAAGATAAATGCAGTGTTCAGATTACAGCGAACGTTACAGCAAATAAATTAATTTTCGGATTTTCCAGAGCGTAACTTTACTTATAAGCTGTAGAAAGTTTCTTAAAATGATATATAAATAGTTATATGTTATAGTACATTCACACTGTCTCATTTAGATACTTGCTCATTTATATTAATGAGTGAATGTTCACATTATAATGAGCTCATTTATGAAGCTGATAGACCTTTTATAAACTTTTATATATTAATTACATATTCCATTAATAGAAACAAAGATTTTATTAAATACTTAATTCCTCAGTGTGTTTATTTAGAACTTAGCTGTTATTTGTTTACATTTTACATATTAAACATATGGTACATATTTCAAATTTAAGTAATTTCCCTTATGGGAAATTTAAAGATTGCATTCGACATTTTACGCTGATTTTTCACTGAGCAGCTTTATTGGTAATGAGCTCATTTATATGAAAGCACTTTCTATGGTAAATCATCCTGATTAGTAGCTATAATGAGTAAAATCTTCTAAATGAGACAGTGTGAATGTGCTATTACTGTTATAGATGCATTATTGTACAAATATCTACAATAGCTAATGCGTATATTCAAAATCTACGAATCTATCAAATTTTTATGTATGATATAAATATCAATATTTTAAAATCTTAATTTTTTATGCAATATTAAGATATTAAAAAACCAACGATAGAAGAAAGATTTAAGAGAAGCTGTTATAATTTCAGTGCTTGCTCGCCTTTTAACCAAGAATTATAGTTTCTGTTATGGAATTCTGTTATTTTTTTTTTGCAACATCTGCAGTTTGCGTTTATTAAACAAAAACATAATTTAAATCACTATTTTCCCACAAAGTGCAGTAGAATATTATTAAAAAACAAAAAAAAAAACAAATGAAAAAAAAAATAGTAGAATGAGATAAGTATATTTAATCATTTCAGTGGTGCAAAAAATGCACACTGAGTTCATTGAAGTGTCTTTAGTTCCTGAGTAGCAACGCATTTCAGAATATGTTTTCGTAGAGAGACGCAATATTGGATCCGCTACATGTGTTACATTATTTATTGGTGCACTTCTTTTTAGGAAAGTAAATTTTTATGAAATAAAATACTTTTGTATATAAAAGAAATACATATTCTGATTTTAATTTGCAGACAATAGCGTCGCGACGTTGTCTACATGAGAAACATTAAGAAGTTTCACACTAATTTATAGTAAGTAAAGTACATACAAGCGCTTCACCAACATTACAACTCGTATTCGCCCCTTCCACGCCGAAAGCCTCAACTTAAATTAACATTCAATACCATACAAAACAGACAATTTGGTTCTAATTTTTATTTGTTAATTTAATTTATTCATGTACGTACAATACTTAAGTTAATTATTTATAGGCGAATGCAGTTTGCATTTCGATCCAACTTCGACGTTGTTGACCGCATCGTCGAAACTAGCGCTAGCGCTAAGGTGTCATTCTTCTCGGTCTTCAACTAATTAAAATTGCATGATTATTTTCGTTTCAGAATCTAAAAAAATGTTCATTTGCATTATTATCGTATATTTCACAGATTCGTATTTGGGCTCTTCTGGGCTGGTTGTTGCGTTGCATCAGTTAATTTTATTTAAAAATATGCACTGCACAGACAGACAACGTGATCAATTATAGTGCACTTCATTTTCTCAATGCTAATTTTCAAATTTTAGATAATAAATTTTGTTTTTGCACAATTTTTAAAAATACGTACTTTGCAATAATTTGTTGAAATATTCTGGCAATAGTTTATTTATCTGTTGCAGATTAAAAAACCAATATTGTTTATGAAATAATAAAATTATATAAAGTGTAGGATTCATGTTAACCTTAAAGTGAAGAAATTTACAGAGAATCTGTATCAGAAACACTTAAAGCGATAATAAATTTTTAAGTACAAAATATTTACAAAAACATTTTAGTTTCGCTTATTTATTTTCTTTTAATTTTAAATAAAATCTTTTGTTTGCTTTTAAAATTTATGAAGCACAGAAACTGCTTAATATCTGGAGAGTAAATATTTGGCAATACCGTGACATCAAACTCATTTTATTTACTTGATAATGAAGTGCGAAAAAAACACAATTTTATATAGATGAACACTTATTTAATGTTATTTAAAGAATACACAAATTGTTATCTAACTATAGTAATCTCCTAATAAAATTTAGTGAATTTATCGAATTGACTTAAGAAATTCGCAAAAAAATTTTTACTTGTAATTATATTTGAAGATCTCAACACTGTCAAAATGATTTTAGTAAATTACTTAATTGTTATTCTCTTCATTAGAATAAGACATTTTCGAATTAATTTTTAATTTTTTCTTAAAGGAAGTATTATAAATTTTTAATATCTATTGATACAATAGAGGTAGGGTATTCACAATCTCGCGTAATAAGTTTCAGAACGGAGTAACATAATAAAAATTACCAACAACAACAACATTCATACGATGTACTTGCCTTTTGTTGTTGGTGTTACCATGTTATTTGAATACCGACCTCGTTATACAAGATTGTGAAGAGATTACGTAGAGCCCTAATATAAAACGTAGAGTAAGTTCTGATAAAAAATAATGTCTAACTTATGATTTAATTAAATTTAGATCAATATATGCTGACAAAATGAATGAAGTTTAATATTATTATGCTATCAATAACATCTCAAATTATCCCCAATAACTCCAGCTCATACCAATGATGCAAAAAAAAATTTAAAACATTGCTACTTATATTTCTTCAATACATTGGGATATACATTCACAAAATACTTCTTATAAGTAACGACAAACGATTGTCTATATCTTTTATAACAAGATTTCAGATGAAAATAATAAGTTACAAAAAAAAACAATTTCACTTTAATTGGAAAAATTCAAATTTCAAAAATATAAACTTGTATACAGGAAAATTTAATTTTCTTATCAGTATTTGAAACACTTACTCAACTATCTCCCAATTTATGGGTCTTAGCTTTATGTGGAATTCTGAAAGCTTCGCCAAATTCCCTACATATTGCAGTTATAAGCTCTTAGTTTAATGAAACTTTCGAAACAACCTTTGTTGTGTACTAAACTCTTGTTGGGGGTTTGAGAAGATCTGGAATATGAATATCACGAAAAGGCTGCTTGTTGCACACCAATTTATAGTATATTTCATTGCTTCTAGATGGTTCTTAAGCTGTGTGAACAGTCTGTCAGTTTAAAAGTTTGCAGTAATAAAGCGAGTTTATTTCGTTGATGATTTCTTTTGCACCCTTTAAAACACTATGCGATTTCTTGACTTGAACTCGCTTCGGATTTAATGAGCCGGGTTAACACCACTACTTATTAGCATCTTATTTTGATATAAGATCATGGTGCAACTACCAAGCCTCATACAGAATACATTAAAATATCTGCAGTTGTAATTGTAGTAGCAATTATTGTTGATGTTTTGTTCTAGTTCCGCGTAAAACTTGACGGAAGAGATTCAGTATGTTAAATGTACAAATGTTAATTTATAAGAATTGAGATGAATGTAATATAATAACAGGTTGGGAAAAGGAAAACACAAATCTTTTTCCTTTAAAGAGTCAGATCCAATTATCAATTACAACATATGGTTTGTTTAAAGTTGGATAACTTTCGTGATTATGACGTTCTTGTTAATGTATCCTTATCAAGGAAATATATATTAAAGAATCTTTTATAAAGCAAAATAGTACTCAAAATTAACTTATTTTACATTCTTCATTACTTTTTTATTATAATGAATAAACTGTTTATTAAGTTTATTAAGCCACTTATAATGCATTAGTAGAGATTATATAAATCTAATAGATTTAAAGATATTTATTTGCCAGTTTTTCTGTCTGTCTATATTCAAATCAAGGTCTAAATTTTTGTACTAATCTTTTAATTGCATTCAACATAAGCTATTTGTAATTTAAGAAGGAGTTCAAGTCAGCAAAGGAAAGAAATTCTTTACATATATAATAATTTTCAGAATTAAATTTATATATTTAGATATGTTTGGGATTCTTAAAATTTTTTTATAAATTAAGTTAAACATAAATCCCCCTAATTTATGTAAGGTTGAACAATATATAAAAGTTTTGTTACATATTATTTGGGTGAAGAGTATTGAAGCTTTTTTCTTGTTAATAACATAAAAAAACTGTTAAATTTTTTGGATTGTTTATATTCTCCATATCATTGAATGAAAATTCTAGTAAAGAAAATTTATGTAAAAAATTCAAACGATTTA